TACATGTTAAAATATGCAAAATATAAGAGTTTTGAGAAACTTATTGAAAATCACAAATTCGATGGTTTTACGATCGCACATGTTAAAATATGCAAAATATAAGAGTTTTGAGAAACTTATTGAAAATCACAAATTCGATGGTTTCACGATCGTACATGTTAAAATATGCAAAATATAAGAGTTTTGAGAATCTTACTGAAAATCACAAATTCGATGGTTTTACGATCGCACATGTTAAAATATGCAAAATATAATAGTTTTGAGAAACTTGTTGAAAATCACAAATTCGGTGGTTTTACGATCGTACATGTTAAAATGTGTAAAATATAAGAGTTTTGAGAAACTTACTGAAAATCGGAAATTCGATGGTTTTACGATCGTACATGTTAAAATATGCAAAATATAATAGTTTTGAGAAACTTATTGAAAATCACAAATTTGATGGTTTTACGATCGCACATGTTAAAATATGCAAAATATAAGAGTTTTGAGAAACCTACTGAAAATCACAAATTCGATGGTTTTACGATCGTACATGTTAAAATATGCAAAATATAAGAGTTATGAGAAACTTGCTTAAAGTCACATATTCCATGGTTTTACGATCGTACATGTTAAAATGTGCAACATACTAGAGTTTTGAGAAACTTGTTGAAAATCACAAATTCGGTGGTTTTACGATCGTACATGTTAAAATATGCAAAATATAGGAGTTTTGAGAAACTTATTGAAAATCACAAATTCGATGGTTTTACGATCGTACATGTTAAAATATGCAAAATATAAGAGTTTTGAGAAACTTACTGAAAATCACAAATTCGATGGTTATACGATCGCACATGTTAAAATATGCAAAATATAAGAGTTTTGAGAAACTCACTTAAAGTCACAAATTCGATGGTTTTACGATCGTACATGTTAAAATATGCAAAATATAAGAGTTTTGAGAAACTCACTTAAAGTCACAAATTCGATGGTTTTACGATCTTACATGTTAAAATATGCAGTATATAAGAGTTTTGAGAAATTCACTAAAAGTCACAAATTCGATGGTTTTACGATCGTACATGTTAAAATATGCAATATGTAAGAGTTTTGAGAAACTCACTTAAAGTCACAAATTCGATGGTTTCACGATCTTACATGTCAAAATATGCCAATTATAAGGGTTTTTAGAAACTTGCTTAAAGTCACAAATTCGATGGTTTTACGATCTTACATTTTTATGCAAAATATAAGAGTTTTGAGAAACTCACTTAAAGTCACAAATTCGATGGTTTTACGATCGTACATGTTAAAATATGCGAAATATATGAGTTTTCAGAAACTTGCTGAAAGTCACAAATTCGATGGTTTTACGATCGTACATGTTACAATATGCAAAATATAAGAGTTTTGAGAAATTCACTTAAAGTCACAAGTTCGATGGTTTGACGATCTTACATGGTAAAATATGCAAAATATAAGAGTTTTCAGAAACTCACTTAAAGTCACAAATTCTTACGATCTTACATGTTAAAATATGCAAAATATAAGAGATTTTAGAAACTTGCTTAAAGTCACAAATTCAATGGTTTTACGATCTTACATGTTAAAATATGCAAAATATAAGAGTTTTGAGAAACTCACTTAAAGTCACAAATTCGATGGTTTTACGATCTTACATGGTAAAATATGCAAAGTATAAGAGTTTTGAGAAACTCACTTAAAGTCACAAATTCGATGGTTTTACGATCGTACATGTTAAAATATGCAAAATATAAGAGTTTTGAGAAACTCACTTAAAGTCACAAATTAGATGGTTTTACGATCGTACATGTTAAAATATGCAAAATATAAGAGTTTTGAGAAACTCACTTAAAGTCACAAATTCGATGGTTTTACGATCTTACAGGTAAAATATGCAAAATACAATAGTTTTGAGAAACTCACTTAAAGTCACAAATTCGATGGTTTTACGATCTTACATGTCAAAATATGCCAAATATAAGAGTTTTTAGAAACTTGCTTAAAGTCCCAAATTCGATGGTTTTACGATCTTACATGTTAAAATATGCCAAATATAAGAGTTTTGGAAACTCACTTAAACTCACAAATTCGATGGTTTTACGATCTTACATGTCAAAATATGCCAAATATAAGAGTTTTGAGAAACTCGCTTAAAGTCACAAATTCGATGGTTTTACGATCGTACATGTTAAAATATGCAATATATAAGAGTTTTGAGAAACTCACTTAAAGTCACAAATTCGATGGTTT